ATATGCAACATGGTTTATTATACTAGATTCCTTCTATGCATGTAGCACACCAAGGGGAGTGGAGGAGGGAGGGGCGGAGGGAAAGAGAGAGACAGATCCCTCTTTATTATCTCAACCAAACGGAAGAGCCCTGTTAGGAAACCTCTTTAGCAACCTTTGGCTCTTGGTCTTAGAGAAGTCTTCAGAAAATAACTCTATGTAACTATTTTCATGTTTAAAATCCTCACCCTTCTTCTTAGAGAACTACCAGTAAACCATGCACCTGGACTGTTTATTTTCCTCGTAGCAGTCAGGAGACAATCTACTACGGTTCTCAAGCTTGCCCTTGGACTTCTAATGAGACAGGATGGAAGGTACCACATATATTACAGCCTGAAAACTCAGCTTTCTCTGGGAACCAGCTCAGCCTAAGAGCATTTTATAGATTATGATTAATGATTAACTAACTCTGCTTCTACCTTTCTGATTGCTGGCTGGCCAGTACTAAATAAAATCCACCACAACCAAAGAACATAAATAACAATTAATATGCATTGGAGTTTTGGGCAGGAGGCAGCGAATGCTTCTTGGGATTTCAAAGGAAATACAAACACTTGTCAAATAGAGAGAAATGAAAGTTCAAAAAGTTCTTCACAAACGTAAGGCACACCCTGTGTGGGCTCTTGGCCTATGGAAGGCTTTTCAAGAGACACTTGTCAATCTTACCACCCAGGGGAGCAGAACAGGAGAAACCGATGAAAGGGCTCATGGGAAAGATTTACAAATGGTTTGACATTACGAGCTTGCCAAAAAGCCTGGATATAGTAATTTACCTTCAACAGGATAAGGAACAGGAAACCAGGTTCAATTATAAGGAGGTTTAGCAACAGACTGATATGTTGACATTTCCTGGATCTATTCCAGGAATGGGTGAGAACATTCTAGATGCGCTACAGTTTTCTCCAATATTCAGTAATTAATATGTTTATTACCAAATGAATTTCCTGTGATTACTTCAGAGCAGGAATCACCTAGATCCCCGTGGTCTGCGCGCTGTGTACAAATTAAGCTCTCCGAGAATTACAAGGGTGCTAATCTAGTGAAAAGGTCGCGAAAATGGGGACTTATCTAGGTCAGGGCAGACTGTCACCACTTGGAGATTCTGAGGACTGCGTTGTCTTGCTTCCTCGTGTGCCTGAGTGATCACACCTTTGTCAAGGCAATCTATCTTTGGCTTGAAAATGAATTTGCCCATTGGAATATACCTGACATTTCCAAGCAGGAGCGCAGTTCCAAGTACAGAGAATGAACAACGTCTCCTTCTGTTACCACAAATAATTAAAACTGTTTGAGGAAAAGGCACGTTTTCAATTGAGACTCTCTAATAGGTGAAATCAATAGTTCTCGCCAGCAACCCGGGGGGTGGGGTACTTCTGTATAAATAAAGTGTATGTGTGTGGTGTGTGGGGCGGGGGGGAGCAGGTCTCTGACTGCAGGTCCAGAACTACCTGAGGTAATGCAGCTTCAGACCCAGGCCTGTGCGCCCTGCTTTCTATGAAGGCTGTTAGAGACCCACGCACACCCAGGCCCCTCCCAGGAGTCTGGAGCCAAGGAGGGTTCCTATTTCACCTCACCCACCCTGCTTGTTGTTTGCTTGTTTGTTTTTTGTTCGTTTTTCATGCATATGCTTGTTGTGTAAGGTAAGAAAACAAATCAAGACAGCCTTCTCAGCCCAAGCCAAGCAGAAAGAGAACTAATCAATACTTAGAACTTGGGACTTATCGGCCCTACCAAGGTAAACAATAGCAGTAAAACGGAGGAGAATCCTACTCTTCTTTATTTTTATCGTCACCATTATTATTATTTGGCTCTGGTTGATTATCGCTTTTCTTTGGAGCTTTCCAAAGAGAGGACCCAGTCCTCACACTGAACACATCTGCCCTGTGCCCCACCAGAGCACAGCTACAACCCAGCCCCCAGTTCAGGAAAATCCAGATCGACATTGACTTTGCAACCTCTTGTTTTCAAGATTTTATCTCATACGCAGGCTAAGTTAAAATCAACTTTCATTTCAGGGACCAATGTGAATTCTTAAACTATTTTTAAAGGCATAACAACTTGTAGAGGATGGTTTTCATTTTTTCTTTCCTTTTTGTGGTACACAGCATGTGTATGCAACTCCTTGCTGAAGATGTAAGGTTGCTCATTTTCATTACACTCCTCGCACAGACTTGCCCCTAATACCAGCGGAAGATGAGTGTGTGAAATACAGTTGAAGCCAGAACATACTCCTATTCTACCTATAGCCTTGGAGTTTACACCAGTCTAATGAATAGGCTAAATTGTCACAAAAATTGATTTTAGAAATGTTATTTTCAGGCAGTCATTTTTTCAAATCTTTCCGTTGTTAACTTGCTAAACCGGAATTCACTATGAAATTTACAGCTTAGGTCTCCTCCATTCAAGTAAGCAGTATCTTTTCATTTTCGAAAGTAAGCTCTGGCTTAGGCTTACTACCTCCTTCCAGGTAACGTCGGGATCCTGAGCTTGCTTCCACCTGCGGGTGTATATAGAACCCAGGAGCGCACGCTCCGAGTCCTCCCCTCGCCCCCTCCGAGGGCCCAGTGGCACCCTCGAGGGAACACAAAACTTTCTGGCCGCAAACTCTAGTGCTACTGCCCCGCGATGAAAAGCAACCGAGCACAGGGAAGGGCGCTGGCTTTTGTTCCAGCGGTGCCTGGCTGGCGAGGTCAGGCCACAGAAGTCCTCCACCCCGAAAAACCGGGGGAAATTCCGAGAGACTGAGATTTGGGAGCCTCACCGAAGCAGCCCATTTCTACGCCATCCGCGCGTACAAACGCGTGAAAAGGAGGCGTGGAGTAGGCAAAGATAAAATCCTTAGTGCCTTGCAAATGCTGCTCCAGGCTTAGGCTCACAGAACCTCCAGATCCGCCGACAGGCGCGACGGGGGCGGGGAGAGGAGCAGAGGCGGACCAGGGAGAAATCGGTAGAGGAGGGCGCGGGAGACACAGTCAAGATGCAGGGCCGGCCCCGCCTCCGGGTACAATCAGACGAGCTACAGTGTGCCAGTGGTTTTCGGCTTCCTGTTTGTAAAGCGAGAACCGCCCTCCCTGACTCTGGGACGTGACACCCGTTCTTCCTCAAAACCGAGAACGCCTCTTCTTCGCGCGCAGGGCCGGCTCCGCCGCTGGAGCAGCGGGGCGGGGGCGGCCGTGGGGCGGGGGCAGGGCGGCCGGGCTCCGCGCCCCTCCCAGCCCGCGGCCTCCGGGGCTGAGCTGGGCCGCGAGGCGGACAAAGCGTTTCCCGCTCCCTCCCCCACGGTCGCGTCCCAGAAGGGAGGGGGAAAGCGGGCTGGAGGACGAGCAGGCTAGGGAGGAAAGGGGGGGAGGAAGGTGCAGCCGGCGGGACTGGGCAAGATCGCGCCCCGGAGGGAGGGGAGGGAGGAGGGGCTGGGCGGCCTCGGAGAACGGGGAGGAGGGCAGGATTCTTGAAGGCCAAGATAAACAAATTGTTCCTCTTCACGTGCGGGGCGGGGGAGGTGAAGAGGGTGGGGGAGCGAGCGCGGCAGCCTCGCCTCTTCCCCTCCCCCAAGCCGGCTCTTTGTCACTGAGCGCTGGCCTGAGCGCCCGGCGCTAGCCTGCGGCGGCACCGGCACTACCCCCGGCGCCAACGATTCCCAGACCCCGGACGCGTGCGATTTATCAACCGCACACTGCGAGGGCCGCTAATCGAGGTGCGGTGTGCCGGGGCCACGGGCAAAAGCGCTCCGCGCTCCAGGATTCCCATCGCCTGGTCCGCTCTGCACACCCGCGCTTCACTAGCCCGGGTAGCGCGGTGGGGGAAGGGGCTGCAGACACCTTTCCGAGCTTCCGGCCTCCCCCCACCCCGAAAGGAAAGCTAAAGAACCTGAGACAGGAGATAAGAGAAAGGATTCTACCCTCAGGGTTAGGGGGTGGGAACTGCCCCTTCCTCCCGGAGAAGTTAAGCCATTGGCTGCTCAGTCTACCTCGAACCCACCCACCCAGCCATTTAAGCCTCTTTCACCTCCCAGCTACCCTCCACTCCTCCGGGCTTATTAGACAAGCTCGGAAAGTTGGCGGGGAGCAGGGCGGGGGGCGAAGCGGAGAGGCTCTGTGCAGCAAGTTTAAGAGGAGGAGGTGACACAATCCCCAGCGAAGTTGCGTGGCAGAGACTCCTGGCGCAGGCTGAGCACGCAGCTCTCTCCTCCGGCCCCCACCGGGCCGCTCCCCCAGCGGCCCTACCCGCCGCTCCACCTGCCGGGCCAGCCCGGGGTCTCCAGCTGCGGAGGAGCGCACCCGCGCCCGCATCCGCGCGCGCTCCCGCGAAGGCGCGCGCTCAGCCATCCTCGCTCCCTCCTCACCCACTTCAAAGTTCATTCACAAAACTCTCAGACTTTCTCAGTCCAAAGGGGGTGAGCTGGGGAGAAGAGGCGAAAGCCTCTTGCTTCCCCCACCGCCCCCCGGGGATTGAGGGCCTAGTGCCCGCCCAGAATCTGCCACAGCATCAGTTTCTCCCCGCACCCGGCGGATGTGCGGAGAGGGGTGGGCGAAGGGGGATGCGTCTGGGGAGGCGAGGCGGCATTGCGAGGGGTGGGGTGGGGTGGGAACCGTGAAGAGGAGGAGCGAGGTTTCAACTCTGGGTTCACTCTCTTTAAAAATCGGTATCTATGAGAAGGAGAGACAGAAAAACTTTTCCAGTGCCTCCCTCCGCTGCTCCTCCAGGCTCCCTCCGCCCCTCGCAGTCGTGACTGGCTCATCCCCTCTCGCCTCCTCTTCCCCAAATCTGACAACCCTGACAGATTAACAGGTAGCAGCGACCGCAGCTTTCCCCCATAAGAAAAGTTGACGTTAACCCTTTGGCTTCAGCCCACCTCGCCCACCGTGCAAATCAGATCCCCGTTCCCCATGTAAGAAGCTCCAGCCCCCACCCCCACCCCCACGCGCGCGCGCGCCCCATGCCCGCTGCCAGCGCGCCCTCACCATGATCAGCGTGTGGTTCCTCTGCTCCGCCGAGGCAGCCTCCGCATCTTGCTGGGGTTTGCTCTGATGCTGCTGCTTGCCGGTGCCGGCGCCCGATTTCTTGGCCCTCTGCTCCAGGGTGCGCTGATACAGGCTCACGGTGTCCCGGCGCTCCAGCTCCAGCTGCTCCACCTGAGCCTGCTGGTACCTGTTTTCGCAGTTGACGTGGTGCCGCCGGCAGCCCTCGATGCGCTGGCGGAGCCGTTCCACCACCGTGCTGTGCTTGGGGACGGCCGCCGAGCCGCCGCCGGGGCCCCCGGAGCCGCCGCCGCAGCCGGCAGCGGGGTGATTGCTACTCGGAGCAGCTGGAGTACTATTGGGAGTATTATTCACACCGATCCCGGCCCCGGCGAGGCTGCTGTTCAGGCTACTGTTGATGCAAATACTACTGCCATTCGCGGCAGCAGCGGGGGCTGCGAAATCCCCCATCCTGCTCCCCGGGCACACTATTTTGGAAGAACTTTTTTTATCCACCCCCCTATCAGCCTCCTCCTTGGGTCCAAGGATTAAAATAGTTTAAGTGGAACGCGGGGGAGACGCAAGCACATGGATGGAAACAGCAATCCCGACGGGGCGAAAAAAAGGGGGGAGAGATTTTGGGGTGGGTTTTTTGTTTCCCTTTTTGTAAAAACTGTAAAGCTCAAGGAGAAAAAAAGGGGGATCGGAATGCCATCAAACACCTATCAACAAAAAGAATCACAACAAACTGAGCCAGCAGCAAATCGGGTTGCAACTCAAGGGGAGATCCGCTCCTCGCCTGCCTTCTTTTTATAATCCATTATTTTCTAATAAATTCCAGGAGATTTCCGGTGGTTGGCAAGCATTTTCTCCCTACGTACCGAAAAACACACCCCATGTACACACACAAGCATATGCCTCCAGTGCGGACACGCGCGACACACACTCACTCCACACCGCATCGGAAAACGGCAAGCTTGCTTATTGCATTTTCCTTCCACAAAAAAGTTTTGGTGTTTATGCCGCCCCGTGTTCTCAAAGTACTTTGGCTGCTCAGTTGCATTTCACAGGATCCTAGATATCAAATCCTCGGGCTGGGGGAAGTAAACACATGGACAGTCCGAGGCGACTGCAAAAGTAGATCGGTGAAGTCCTTTGCAAAACGCCGCGCGGAGAGCAGCCCCTAACGCTCGGCTGGGCTGCCGCTGCCGCCGCTGCTCCTGCCACCATCACAATGATCAACTGCTCGCCGCCGCCGCCTCCTCCTCCTCCTCTCGCTCCTCCACCTCCTCCTCCTCCTCCATGCCAGCGGAGTGATATCAGGACGCGCGAGCTCAGTAAACACGGCAGCGGCGGCGGCTGGAGGCCGTGAGACAAGCCCGGGGACACGGCGCAAAACCCGGCCCGGACTCTCACCCGGCAGGAGCGGGCGCGGCACGCACCGGCAACGGGCTCCCGCCTCCCTCGCCTCGCTCTCCCCGCCCCTCCCACGTCCCCAAGCTCACTAACCCAGGCTGGGAACCGGAGCTGCCAGAAAAGAGAGAAAGAAAGATTCTGGGAGATCTCGAGAATGAATCAACTTTTGACGTGCGTGTGTGTGCGTGTGTGTGTGCGCGCGCGCGCGCGCGCGGGATGGGGGGTGGGGGTCACATGGACGCGCCGGGCTGGATTTCCTTATTCCAAGCGAGGTATCAGGGGAGCCCAAGTTGTTGTTATACATTTATGCATTATATTGCAGAACTGTGCATGACCAGGCAGAAACATTGAAGCTTCACAGCAGTTGTCTGTCATCCCTATTCATGTGGAAAGAAAAAGGCAAATGAGTGACTTGTTTTTGAAACCCAGGTAATAAGTCTTTCCTAGTAATAACCCTCCTTATGGACACTTGTTCAAACTCTAGGCCATTCTTAACACACAAATGCCGAATTCTGAGCAAAAAGAAATAGGCAATAAAAACCTTGGAATATTATTTAATTCTTTGTACATAATGATTGTTGTTATTAAGGCAATTACTGTTTTACTTACCCTTGGAAAAAAAATTAAAATAAAGCAAGCAGGGACTCAGAGGTGAGACTAACAGTACATTTTAACAGACTGTTTTGAACACTAGGTGCTAATGACAGGAGTAATTAAGGGTCCTTCGTAAATCAAGGGGAAAGATTGCAGATTTCATGGACTAGAACTATAGGAAAACCACAGCATTTCAGTTTGTCATGACCAAAACAAAAACAAGCAAAAAGAACAGGCTTACTTTATTACTAGATCTATTTCTTTCTGTTTAAATGACTTCACAAGTACAATTAAAAGGGAATAGCAACCACAGAAAGCAATCAAAACTTTCCATCATCTTTCCAGACACTGACTACCTAAAAACACAACAATTAAGAATCAAATATAATATCCTTGAATCTGGACTTAACCCATTGCATAATTTTTTAAATAATTAAAATGAAGAAACGTTTTTCTGATCATCAGTAAGATGAAATCTTGATTGTGTGCTGATAATACAAAATAAGGCATTTTGTATTATCTCAATAAAACTTATAGAATTAATTTTTAGGGTAAAAATACACCCCAGTTTTCTAAAATAGCCGGGGATAAAAGAACTTTGGATTTCATGCATTAGTCATGAGATCTGATTTAAGCCATCTTCATTTCTTGGCATTGCAGAGTAGCACTGGATGCTATTTCTAACCTCGTAAAGTCAGCAATAAGAAGCTATATTTTTCTTCAATTAATCAGGTTTATATGGTGAACTATAGCTTTAATGTCCCCTAGATTATACGGTAAAATGGGGAGCAAACATGGTGTCAGCTTATCTCTACGTAGTGAAACCAGTGTGGGAGAGCATCTGTCATTGAAAGTTGCCATATTTTTTTTCAGAGGGTCTGGTTACTCAACAGGCAACCTTCTGCATCATAACTGCCCCTCCAAGTCTGTTGGAATTACATGGAATAGCTCTTTAGCAAGAACTTAGATGAGACCATAAAAACACAGAGAAGATTATAAAGAGTTGCAAGAAAAAGACTTCACAAAGTGGCCTTGATCTTTTTCACACATTCGCTAAATAATATCTCCATTAATTCAGGAAACACGTGGCTTCGCTACGGAGAGGAAGCCACGGCTCCGCATTCCCTCTGGCCTCTCTTCCCCGTAGTTGAATTCTTACCCCTCCTCCCCCACGTGCCTGCATCGACCACACAAGGCTGCAACTGGATTTCCAGAAGCAACAAGCTTGAGGGTCTTGATTCAGTTTGGAGACCTGGGTTCTCATTCCAACGTTTTCCAGTGATGCCAAATTTAACAAACAAAACTTGAACAAAAATTTTCACTGAGAGTTTGTTATTCTGAAAAAATAAAATAAAACAATAGCAGCAACGTGCATTCCCGTGGAGCCGTTTATCTCTCCTATCACGAAGGGAAACCAAAAATACACAAGAATTTGCATCCTTCTCTCTGGGAACCAGCAGGTGGAAGAGCACACTCGGTGGCTTTACCCCAGAGGTCCCCGATGACAATGGTTGTTCTGTTCTTGCACAGCCATGGCACGTTTGGCTGCCCGAGTCTAGTGCATGGGTAGACCAAATACAAAGGAGAGGTTGACTGTTCATGGGTATATGCACACACACACACACCCCGAAGCGTTTTTTCTCTCGTCATGGAGATAGGAATGGCAGCCACAATCTCCAAGATGTGGGAAAAAGAAGGACTGTAAAACTGTGGGGGCCTGAGGGAAAGAGTCTTTGAGGACTCCGATCCATGCGGTACTCTGCTGTGGCATAAGTAAGGTCAGAAGCTCCATCCTAATTGTGCAGGACAATTAGAAGAAAGAAGCAGGAAGTGAACAAGACTTGGGTCTTGAGCAACGTGGGCAAGCCCGCCCCGAATCTGAGATGTTAATCTACTCCGATAACTTTAGAAGCAGCACAGGCCTGTGTGCCGGCTACTTCTAGACTCTCATGATATATTCCCGCAAGGACGCCATCTTTGTCGGTCACCTTCCTGAAGAACGCCTTGAAAGTCACAGAGAAGTTCAAGTTCCAGGAAAGCAATTTTAGTCTCGTCTCCCAACTAAGTACTCTAAGTACTCTGATAGCACGACCATCTTCATCATTTACATGAGCCCACTGTGGAGCAAAACTTCCAGATCAGAGCTATGGACACGTCATCGGTGCTGTTGCTCTAGAATGATGAACTCTGAGATGCCACAGCGGAGACAAGGAGGAAATTACGTGGCTTTGTCCCCAGGTTTCAATGATATCTCTCGGGATGCCCAAGAGAAGAAGGGCTTGGTAAACATGTACCTGAACCACGTTGTCCTGAACCTCTGGCTCTGAGCTGCTGAACTAGATTCCCTTTCCTTTAGCTAGCTCTGCCTTACCCTCCCGTGTCCAAGTGGTAGGACCCAGTGTGCTAGTGTTAGGAGAAAGGTCTTTGTGTGCAAACACCAGTGTATGTGCCACCTCTACTTCCCTATTGATGCGGATCGATAGAACTGGCTTCACAATTTTTCTCTAAATACATACTAGGCGATGTGGTAGAGTAGGGACCCTCTGCTACCCACCTATGGGTAAGCAGACCTTTATTTTTTAGGTTTTTATTTATTTATTTTTAGAGAGGGGGAAGGGAGGGAGATGCAACCGCCAATGTGCGGTTGCATCTCCTGTGCCCTGAACTGGGGACCTGGCCTGCAACCCAGGTATGTGTCCTGACTGGGAATCAAACCAATGACTTTTTGGTTTGCAGGCCAGCACTCAATCCACTGAGCCACACCAGCCAAGGCAGCAGACCTTTATATATGCCCACAGAGCAGCCCTGGGCAGTCTTCCATTACTAGCAGCAGGGACTGTGCCCTCAACTGTCTAGCAAGAGCTGCCACTCAATAATTCCACAAGTATAGTTATGGCTGCCTGTGTCCCAGGCCCCTGTAGTAGGCCTGGGAATAAGCATAACAGCGTACAGAACACAGGCCCAACCTCAGTGATGGCCCACCAGACTCAGGGCAGGAGATGCAGTGGTGGGACTAAGGTGAGGTGGGTATGAGGACACATAAAAGAGGCTTGGGGGTGCATGCCTGGAGGTCTGTCTAAGAAGGCTTCTCCAGAACTCGCTCTGAAAACCAGTTGGAAGCAAGCCCAGCAAAGGCTGGTGGCAGGTCCACGTGGGGAGCTGGGAGACAGCCTGAGGAGGGAGGCCCCGAGGCCTGCTGTCTCAGCAGACCCAGCAACGGCTCCCCCACGCAGGAGCGTGAGTTTGAGAGACTGTGGCGAGAAACAAGTAACGAGGCCGAGGCTGGGAGATAAGCGGGAGCCAGACCGTGAAGGCCACGCAGAAGTTTTGACTATCTCCTCGGGACAGTGCTGCCATTGGAAGGATTCAAGCTGAGCCATGCTTTCTACTTTGGCGATGCAGGGGGCGTGTTATTCCAGTGTTTTCTAGAGCGCCTTCTGCAGAGGCTAGCACTGTCAACTGTTTTGCCAGAAAGGCTTCTGAGCCAAGTAAGGGGAGGAGATGACCTGCGCCCCATCGCTCCCAAAGAGGTGCGTCACCGCACTCAAGGCCACCACAGAGCTTGCAGCGGAGTGGGCTGAACTGGGCTTAACCGAGCGCTGCCTGAATCCTGTTTTGTCCCACAGAACGAGACGCACCGTGGAGAGCTCGGTGCAGGGGAGTAAGTCTGAAGGCAATTGTAAAATCACTTAAACGCACAGTTACCTGGGCACGTGGTCTGTGAACAGGACCACACTCCCCTGACCAAAGGGCCGGAACCACTAGCCCTGGTGGCTCAAGGCCCTTCCCTGACCAGAAACCAGGCACGCTGAAGTGTGTCCTTGAACTGATGAGAAAGGGCAACACAAAGGCAAAACTCCCAGAAGGCTAGGTTTGTGCAGCTTTTTAGCATGAGTACTTTGAGTATGTGGTATTCATGTCTATCTCTGGATAGTAAAACCTCTTTATTAGGGGGAGAGGTCAGATTTCTTTAACTGGAAATCTTAATTATGTAATATCTTTAAAGATATAGAGTTTCATTACTTTTGGAGCATGCATTCTGTCTAGTCGAACAATTACTGGCCTCTCGGAGCTATTTTAACGAGCTCTTTCTACCTAGTGAGCCAACTGTGTGACGTAGCCCCTGTGCACTAGGGTGTTTCAAAAGTTGGTTTCCTTCAGTATTTCAATATTCCTAGCGAGACGTTGTTTACATGATTCATTTTCACTTTTTATGAAGAAGGGGTTTACCAAGCTCTAGACCATGTCATAAATTTCAAGAGGAATATGAGTTAATGGAGTTTATTTTCTTAAT